AACACCTTGTTATCGATAATAATTTTAAAAAATCTTCTTAGTGATAATAATTGCAATATAAAATCGTGTTATCGCTATGAATTTCTTTAGCAAATATTGATTGATATCAATTTTGTTATAGATAATAATTTTTACAATAAAATTTGTTATAATAATTTCTTTAGAAAAGTTTGTTATCGATAGAAAATAAGATAATATTTTTATGCAGAAAATTTTTTTTTGTTAACGATAATAATTGCAATTGAAAATTTTGTTATCGATAACAATTTCAATAGAAAAACTTGTTATCGATAATTAGAACACTTTGGTATCGACAAAAAACTGTTATCGATTGAAATTTCTTCTATAGTGAAATTTTATCGAAATTACATTTTCGATAATATTTTGTATAGAAAATCGTTTCGACAAAATGCGAAAAAGTTTAATCGCTAATAATATCTATAAAAAATCTTGTTATCGATAAGCATTTGCATACAAAATCATGTTATCGATAACAATTTCTATATAAAAATGTGTTATCTATAAAAGTTCTTATAGAAAATATTGTTATCGATAATAATTTAAACAGGAAATCGTGTTATCGATATGATTTTTTTTTAGAAAATACTGATATCGATAATAATTTCCATAGAAAAGTTTGTTATCGATAATAAGTTTTGCAGAAAATGTTGTTATCGATAATAATTTTCACATAAATTGTTGTCGATCATATTTTCTATAGAACACCTTGTTATCGATAATAATTTCAATAAAAAATCTTCCTAGTGATAATAATTGCAATATAAAATCGTGTTATCGCTATGAATTTCTTTAGCAAATATTGATATCGATATTAGTTTCTATAGAAAATTTTGTTATCGATAATAATTTAAACAGGAAATCGTGTTATCGATATGAGTTTCTTTAGAAAAATATTGACATCAATTATAATTTCTATAGAAAAGTTTGTTATCCGTAATAAGTTTTGCAGAAAATTTTGTTATCGATAATAATTTTTACATAAATTGTTGTCGATCATAGTTTCTATAGAACACCTTGTTATCGATAATAATTTCAATAAAAAATCTTTTTAGCGATAATAATTGCAATATAAAATCGTGTTATCGTTTCTATAGACAATTTTGTTATAGATAATAATTTTTGCAAAAAAAAAAATGTTATCGATGACAATTTCAATATAACATCTAGTTATCGATAAAAGTTTCTCTGTAAACTTATATTATTATTAATATTTTCGATAGGAAATCGTGTTATCGATAATATTTTCTATAGAAAATCATGTTATCGATAATATTTTCTACAAAAAATCATGTTATCGATAATATTTTCGGTAGAAAATCTAGTAATCGATACTTTTTTATGAAAATCTTGTTATCGATAATAATTTCAATAGAAAAGTTTGTTATCGATAACAATTTCAATAGAAAATCCTGTTATCGATCATTTTTTCCTATATAAAACATTGACATCGACAAAAAAAACTGTATCGATTGAATTTTCCCAACCCTCTCCTAACCCAATACAGATCAAGTGTGAAAACATTTAGTGTGTGAGAAATCATAAAATACAAACTGCCACTGAAATTGCCACTTCATTGTGTCCCGCAAAAGGTCATTAAAATCAATTCATATAACATTTACTAATCGAAATGACTTATCTTGACCGCATACGTATATAAAACACAGACATTTATGGTCACTCAAGCGTAACCAAATAACATCGAATCTTTGGCAATAACATTGACTGCTTCTTAAGTTTCCAAAATAGAGAATTGATTTTAGGGTGGCAAAAAAAAAAAGAAGAAAGAATATTGTATCCATAAATTTCCTGGGTATAACTCAATAATATTGGCAGTGGCTGCTGCCTTTGGGAGGAGGGGGCTGGTGTATTTGCCCGGCATATATTAACAATAAATATTTATAAGCAAAAGAAACTCCCACTACAAAAAATATGGCAAACATTGCAAAAATTATCTACTTCTTGGCCACAGGATATTATTTGCAGCAGTTACTGCTGCTCCTGCTGCACAGACAAAAGGAAGATATAAAACTCGGGGCATTTATTATTCATACGCTCTGTGGGCGGGCTGGTGTCTGGGTGTAATTTGGTGGAAAAGAAAGAGCAGTGAATAGAACGGAAGGAAGACACACTAAAATCAAACACGGAGAGTAGTTTCGTGGTGGACTAACGGTTATTTTTGAAGGATTCAAAATACATTTACACAACAATGTGTAAACAAAGGCGGGATGTCCGTATTGTTGTTGCGGTATTTGTTGTACACTATGAATGGGATATTTATGCGGGGTTTTTTTCTATTTTGTTTCTTTTGTGTTGTGGCGGCTTTGTTTTGTGGTTAATGTTGCAAATATATGCATATAAATCGAGGATAACATATTTAGGACAATATGTGAACTGAACGTGATGATGGGGAGGATAATAATAAAAACCACATATTTAAAGATTTTAATATGGAGAGACTAAACACCGTTTTTAATTAATTTGAAAACAATATTTTCGATAACAATAAGTTACTATGCAAATTTCCGGCCAAAAGGAAGATTTTGTACAGCAAATTTGATCGATAACAACATTTTCTATAGAAATTGTTTTCGATAACTCGATTTTCATAATAAATTATTATCGATAACATGACTTTATGTAACAAATTTTATCGATAACATCATTTTTAAAAACAAGTGTTATCGATAACTGGATTTTCATAATAAATTATTATCGATAAAAAAATGTTTTGATGAAAATTTTTATCGATAACAGTATATTCGATACAATTTTTTTATTTTTTATAAAAAAAAATTACCGATAACGAGATTTTCTATAGTAATTATTTTCGATAACATGGATTTATCCAGAAAATATTATCGATAACAAGATTCTTTATCGAAATTATTATCGATAAAAAATGTTCTAAAGAAATTATTATCGATATCAAATTTGCTATAGAAATTATTATCGATAACAAATTTTTCTTTAATTTTTTTTATCGATAACAATAATTTTCAATAAATAGTTCTAACGATAAAAACATTTTCTATACAAATTAATATCGATAACAAGATTTTCTATAAATAATGTAATCGATAACAAGATTTTATATAGTAATTATTATCGATAACAAGATTTGCTATAGAAATTATTATCGATAATAGATTATCTATAGAAATAATTATCGATAACAAGATTTTCTATATAAATTATTATCGATAACAAGACTTTCTATTGAAATTATTGTCGATAACAATATTTTGTATGGTAGTTTTTATCGATAATAAGGGTTTCTATAGAAATTATTGTCGGTAACCAGATTTTCTACAAATATTTCTACCGATAACAAGATTTTCTGTTAAAACTATTATCGATAACAAGATTTTTATTAGGCATTATTTTCGATAAAAAGTTTTTTTAGAAATTATTATTGATAGCAATATTTTCTATAAGAATCACTATAGCAAGATAACAGTATTTTCTATAAAAATAGTTATCGATAACAAAATTTTCTATAAAAATTATTACTAATAACAATACGATAATATGATTTTCTATAGAAATTATTATCGATAACAAGATTTACTATTAAATTTATTATCGATAACACGATTTTGTATAAAAATTATTATTGATACTTATAGAAATTAATATCGATAACACGATTTCCTCTAGAAAATACCATCGATAACAAGATTTTCTATTAAAATAGTTATCGAGAACATAATTTTCTATACAAATTAATATCGATAGCAAGATTTTCTATAGAAATTATTATCGATAACAGGAGTTTCTACAGAAACTATTTCCGATAATACGATTTAATCTATAGAAAATATTATCGATTACAAGTTTTTATATCGAAAACATTATCGATAATAAGATTTTCTGTAGAATTTTTTTCCGATAACAAGATTTACTGTAGAAATTTTTTTCCGATAACAAGTTTTTTTTTATCGAAAACATTATCGATAACAAGATTTTCTGTATAAATATTTTCCGATAACAAGATTTACTGTAGAAATTTTTTCCGATTGATAACAAGATTTTCTATAGAAAACAATATCGATAACAAGATTTCCTATAGAAAACATTACCGATAACAAGATTTTCTACAGAAAATATTATCGATTAAAAGATTTAGTGTTGAAATTATTATCGATAAAAACATTGTTTATATAACTTTATATCGATAACCATATTTTCTATATAAAATATTATCGATAACAAGATTTTCTATAAAAATTATTATCGATAATACAATTTTTTATAGAATATTTCATAGAATTTTCTATAGAAAATATTATCGATAACTAGATGTTCTACCGAAAACATTATCTATAACATGATTTTCTATCGAAAATATTATCGATAACTAGATGTTGTTTTAAAATTATTATCAATAACAAGATTTTCTATAAAAATTATTATCGATAATACGATTTTTTATAGAATATTTTATAGAATTTTCTATAGAAAATATTATCGATAACAAGGTGTTCTACCAAAAAATTATCGATAACATGATTTTCTATCGAAAATATTATTGATAACAAAATTTTCTAAAGAAAATCTTATCGATAAAAAGATTTTCTACCGAACATATTATCGATATTCCATAAAAAATATTATCGATTACAAGATTTTTCACAGAAAATATTTTCGATAACTAGATTTTCTGTCGACATTTTAATTGATAACACGATTTTCCACAAAAAATATTATCGATAACATGATTTGTAAAGAAATAATTTTCGATGACGATATTTTCTATTGAAGTACTTAACGATAACAAGATTTTCTATCGAAAAAATGATCGATAACATTAAAAGATTTTCTATAGAAATTATAATCGATAACAATAATTTCTACAGAAATTTTTCTTAATTTTTTTTCTCTATATTTTGAGATTTTATCGATAAGTTATCGATTTCTTTAATATTAATATCGAATATGAAATAAAATATATTTATTAATTATTAAAAAAAAACACTCACCCAATATTGCACGCAAATGTCCTTCGAGCGTCTGCAGGATCGTCTGTTTAATTTCGCTAACACTCTTGCCCAGGAACTGTTCACTGGCGGTGCCCAGAAGTTCGTCAGCCTGATGATGAAAATAATAGACATTCATCATCTGCATGAACAAATCCGTTCATTCATTGTTCAGGGGTTTTTGTTTTTTTGGAGAATATAAAAGGAATTTTTATGGTTTTATTAATATGTGTTGTTGTTGTGGGGTTTTTGTTGTCGTTGTCAGCAGCGTCAGCGAAATATATATATTTTTATTTCATTTATATATGTACATTATGACAACAATTATTTGTTTATTTATTTATATATATGTTTATATATCCATGTATATTTATATTTATTATGAAATACAGAGAGCGTTCGTTGGCAGCATTTATTTAATTCAGGATGAAACGGCAGAGAGAGACAGAGAGGAGTAGTTACAGCAGAGAGCAGCACAACAGCCAAAAAGCGCAACACAAAAGATAACGGTACAACATCACACCCACACAGACATCAAGGTATCCATCAAAACAAACAATGACGTTTGCATTTGTATCGGTTTTTTGTTTTTTGGGTTATGTTTTCAATTCAAACGGATACGGAAATGCATGGTTGTCAATAGAGTATAAGAGGGTCGGGAAAGTAAAAGAAAAAAACATCTTTAGTTTTTTATTTAAAAATATTTTATTATACAAAATTAGTTATATAATTTAATAAGGGGATGATTTTTTTAAAGTAATTTTTTCAGAATGATACTATCGAGTTAAAAAAAATAGTTATCGATTAGAATTTTCAATAGACACGCATGACATTAACAAAAATGTTTAGAAAATCTGGTTATCGATAAAAATTACTACAAAAAATTGTGATATTGACCATATTTTCTATAAAAAACCTTGTTATCGATAATATTTTCTGTATAAAATCCTGTTATCGATATATATTTTTTATAGAAAATTTAGTTATGGATTAAAATTACTATACAAATGGATACCAAAATTATATTATCGAAAAATACAATTTTGGTATCCATTTGTATAGTATAGAAAACCTTGTTATCGATAAAAAATTTTATAAAAAATTTATTAATCGATAAATGTTACAATAACAACATTTTTATTGATAGAAAAATCGTATTATCGAAAATAACTTCTGTAGAAATTTTTGTTTTCCATAAAAACTACGATAGCAAGTTTTGTTATAGGTAAAAATTCCAATGGAAAATTTGGTTTCGATAAATATTACTATCGAAAATTTAGTTTATGGATAGAAAATTCATATTATCAAAAATGAGCTCTATAGCAAATTTTGTTATCGATACAAAGTACTATAGAAAATTTTGTTATCGATAAAAATTGCAATAGGAAAATTTGTTATCGATAGAAAAATTATGTTATAGAAATTAATTTCTGTAGAAAGTTTGGTTATCGATAAGAATTTTTATAAAAGTTTTTGTTAACGAAAAATTGACTATAAACAATTTTGTTATCGATAAATATTACTATAGAAAATTTAGTTTTTCGATAGAAAAATTATATTATCGAAAAAATTATAAAGATTTAGTTATCGATAAAAATATTTGATATATAATCCGAATATTGAAAAGAATTTTTATAGATAAGTCGGTTATCGATAAGAATTTGTATAGAAGTTTTTTTATCGATATAAAATTACTATAGAAAATTTAGTTTATCGATAGAAAAATTATATTATCGAAAAAAAATCTAGTTATCGATAACAATTTTTATATAAAATCCAGTTATCGATAAGAATTTTAATAGAAAATACTGTTATCGATATGAATTCGTATAGAAAATTCGGTTATCGATAAGAATTTGTATATAAGTTTTTGTTATCGATAAATATTACTATAGAAAATTTAATTTATCGATAGAAGAATTATATTATCGAAAAAAATTTCAATAGAAAATCGTGTTACCGATAACAATTCTTACAGACTATCGATGAGAATTATTATAGAAATAATTGTTATCGAAAACAATTTTGTAGAAAACGTTGTTATCGATAGAAATATAATATTATCGAAAATAATTTCTTGGTATTATCTGAAATCAATTTATCGATAATAACTTCCATAAAAAATTTTTATCGATAGTATATTGGACAAAAATTTAATTATCGATTAGCTTTTCAACGAAAACTTTTGATATCGAACACAATTTCTATTAAAAATATTGTTATCGATAAGAATTACAAACACAAAATGCTGTTATCGACATGAATATATGGGAAAATTTTTGTTATCGATATTAAAATTCGAAAAAAATCTTTTTTATTGTCTATATTATCGATCACAATTTCTATGAAAAATCCAGTTATCGATAGAAAATGTTGTTATCTGTATAAATTTAAAGGGACATTTTTGTTATCGATAACAACACAAATATATTTTGTTAGCGATGGTAATTTTTTTTTATCAAAAATCTTGCTAGCGATAAGAATTTCAAGGGGGAATTTTTAATCTTCTTTAGAAAATATTGGTAATTTCTGCAGAATGTACTGTTATCGGCAATTTTTGAATCGATATTAAAAAAATCGATAAAGAATATATATTTGAAAGTTATCGACACTAATTCTAATTCTTGCTGTAGAAAATTCTGTTATCGATATGAGCTTATTTGGAAATGTTTGTTATCGATATGAGCTTATTTGGAAATGTTTGTTATCGATAAAAGAAATTCGATAAAAAATCTTTCAATCGACCGTATTTGTAAATTATTGATAAGAATGTCTGTAAAAACATTTGTTATCGATAGCCATTTTTATTAAAAGTCCTGTTATCGATTAAATTTAAAACGGAAAACGTTGTTATCGATCATACTTTCTTTGGAAAATGTAGTTATCGATCACAATTTTTGTGGAAAATGCTGTTATCGATAAGAAATTAAGAATTTTGTTTTCGATAACAAATTTTGTTTTTGAAGAGATTTTTAGGAAAAAAAATATCGACAGTAATTTCTATAGAAAAAATTGTTATTAATTATTTGAACGGAAATTTTTGTTATCGATTACAATTTCTTTTGAAAATATTGTTATCGATCACCATTTTTTTTTGGAAATAAAAAATTTTAAAATAAAATCTTATAATCGACTATATTTAAAAGTTATCAAAAAATTTTTCAGTAAAAATATTTGTTATCGATAAAAATTTTTTTAAAAATTCTTGTTATCGATGAGATTTGGAACGGAAAAATTTTCTTATTGCTCAGAATTTCTTTGAAAATTTAGTTAGCTAAAAGAATTTTTACCGAAAATGCAGTTATCGGTATAAAATCATGAAGAAATTTTTGTTATCGATATAAAAATTTATATAGGATATTGTCTATATTTGAAAGATTTTTTTTTTTAGATTTTTATATAAAATCTGAAAAAGTTACTTTGAAAAAAATCAACCCTCTTGCTTTTAATAAAAATCGATATTTTAATACAATACTTTATTTAGTCAGGAATATTTTTACAAAACCAATACATGTTCAGCGACCCCTGATTTTGAAGGGCAGTCTTGAAGTATTTTTTGAACTTGTAGCACAGTGGTTAATGTGATTATTTGTAAAAAATTCCTTTTTATATACAGTCAAATAATATTGTTTTTTGTTTTGTTTTTTTATTTGTTTTTTTATTCGACTGTACATATATACTTATATTTATATATTAAATTTAAATATATGAGATGTGAAAAAATTAAAAAAAATATAAAATTATTTTTTTTTGTTATTTAGACGTGGACAAAATGTACAACATTTAATGGCAACATATTAAGAAGTTAGGTGAAAACAATTAATTAATTTTTATAAATAATAATAGAGTGAGAAAAAGTGGTGAAAAACACAACAAAAATTACTGAAAATATTATAAAAAAAAAATATTTAAAAAAATAAAATAAATATTAAAATATATTCAACATACCTTTTATTTAGAAAAAACATATTCAAAAATCATATCATCAAATGGGGAACTCAAAACTACGGCAGTAAATACTCCAACAAAATTATGGAAAACAAATTACAGGATGAAGATCATATATTAAAAAAATTATAAAAAAAAATAAAAATTAGAATTTATTAAAAAAGAAAAAGAAAAAAATAAATAAAATTGAAAGGAGATTTTGGAATTATTAAAAAAATATTTTAGGCATGAATATATATGAACATATTTGAAATTATATATATATAACATATATATGTATATATATATAATTTAATTATGTTCCATTTTATTTATTTTATATCCCATTTTAATTATTTTTAAAGACCTTTTGGCTTCTAAAAAAAATATTTTTTTTATTTATTTTTAAAATTCCAAAATCTACCCTTCCATTCAGGATGAATTCTTCGCGATAGAGAATTAAAAAAACTTAAACATATCACAAACTGCAAATCATACCTCATCATCCATTTTTCCATATTTGCTAGACTGCAATCGAAAAAAGAGAATAGAAAAAAGAAATGAAGAAAAAAATATACAACAAATAATAAATAAAGGAGTTTTGTTTTTTTGTTCATTCCAGAAAAGAAATGGGAAAATAATTTACAATAGGCATGATCAAACAAAATAAACGGACTACTAATTTTCTAAGTAAAAACAAAATAAAACTAAATAAAAAATATAGAATAAATAAAATATTAATAAAAAATAAAATTAAATTAGGGGGAAATGTGCCAAAAATTCTAAAAAAATTGGAATTTGTGCAAAAAATCGAAATTAAATTGGAATCGAAATATTATTTGTTGTGCTTATTTGTAAAAATTCAGAAAAAATCTATCAATTTTCTGTTTATTGATTTTTATTCTACGTTGAACGGTATGATTTAATTCTTTTAGAGGTCTGTGCCAATAGATGTTACAAAACTAAAGCATACTTTGAGGCGTTAACGTTACTGGCAATGGAAGTGTTCCAAATTAATACAAATGAAGGCTAATGAAAAGAAAATCTCTCTAAAAATAAACCAATAATAGGTAAGGTTGAAAAGAGGGGTGCATGATACCACAACATGTTCAACATGAAAAGGACAAACACATAAGCCAAATGAGGCCTGTTGTGCGCTCTAGAAATCCGGAGAAAGTCAAGTCCAGAATTAGTGAAAGTTTATATTAAACAAGTGAAAAAAGCGTTAAGTTAACTTTGGATACCCTCCACCATAGGTATACTGATAGATACTTGAAATGTAAATATAGGGAAAATATCAGAAAGTGAACCTATACCGATAATTCTACAAACGGATTTATGTAAACCATATTATAGACACCAAATAAAAAATTCAGCAATTTTTAATGGGGATATTTTCTAAAATCTGAAAACCCCAAAGCATGGACTGATAATAATAACGTATGGTAGAGTATAAAATCCTCAAACTACTGCAATTTAGATTGCAAAGTTATATGAGGCAATGCGTAAAGGGAGACCAATATTGATTACATAGTGTAGGAATTAGAGAATATTTGGGGTTATCATTATATGAGGGCTATGCATAATTAATGACCGATATATGTAGATTTCGAAACCAATATTTTAGGTATGTATCTCAATTATGTATCTTATTATAAGGAAGAGATGCCTGCCGATATACAGGAAATACAAATTTCAGAAATTTTTAGGACGTTTTTACTAAAAACCCCCCAAAAAGTGGACCGATATAGACGACGCATGGTACCAAAATACTGCAATGTAGAGGTTACAGTTAGAAAAGGCCATCACCAGAGGTTTTATATTGTTCATTCAGGAACCTCACGTTCTAATTGTTTATCTCTATATCCTCCACAGGTAAAATGATTACAACAAAGTCTTAGAACCCAACCCAAAACGCGGAACAAATCAGATAACTATTTTAATATAAAAAGGGGGCTATATGGGGACTACCCCTAAAAGGGGGGGGGGCGAATATTACTAATTGTTGGGAGGGAGGTTTGTTACCATATACGATTACAAAAAACCAAATTACAAAGAATTTGGTTGAAAAGCGCGTTCAAGAACCCCAAAATACCGAAAATGGGGGGGGGGTACCCTTATATGGGGGCTATCCGAAAAAATTGACATATATTTATAATTTTTAGTGGGGTAATTTGGTATCCAATAATAAACCAATGTACGAAATTTCAGCTAATTCAGTTGCAAAACGAGTCCAGGAACCCCAAAATACCGAAAATTGGCGGTACCCTTATATAGGGCCTATCTGAAAAAATTGATTTATATATATAATTTTTAGTAGGGAGATTTGCTGCCCAATAAGAACTCAAAGTACCACATTTCAGCGAATTTGGTCGGAAATGCGATAAAAACCCCAAAATACCGCAAAATTGAAGGGTACCCTTATATGGGGGCTATCCAAAAAAATGGACCTATGTTTATAATTTTTAGTGGAGAGATTTGCTACCCAATAAGAACTCAATGTGCCAAATTTCAAGAACCTCAAAATATCAGGGTACGCTTATATGGGAGCTATGCCTAAATGTGGACAGATGGACATGCTTAAATCGTCATAGAATTTTACGCTTAAGAATATATATATTTTATAGGGTCGGAAATGATTATTTCGATGCGTTACAAACGGAAAAACAAAACTAATATACCCTCCATACTATGGTGGAGGGTATAAAAAGCATTTGAGTTTGATTCCCCTATGAATCTAGGAATTCCGTATTTTTTGTGAACGCCTTCAGTCTTCTCTATTCACACCCCCTCAGATCGGTTAGTCCGTGAAGAGTGTCATTTCCCAAGAACAGTTTCCGAAGGCTTGTAAATGCTGGGCAATAGCACAGGAAATGTTCCACCGTTCACTGTCTTCCCCACACGTTCTGCACATTCTGCTACCTTCGCATTCAATCTTAAGTAGATATGCCTTCAGGCTAAGGTGTCCTGTTAGAATACCCCTAAGTCGGTTTATTTCTTTTTCGTTTAGCGTTAGGATTTCCTTAATATTGTCTCCATTTGGGTCACCCCATAAGATTTTGGTGATTTTTTCTGTCCCCTCATTTTCCCAAAGGGTTTTGTGGGTCTCATTCGCCCATTTCCTCATTTCTTGGCGTGTTTCCCTAAAAGGGTTTGGCGGTACTCAAATCTATTGTGGATAGTGCTGCAGTAGCACTCCCGGCTAGTTGATTTGCTATCTCGTTGCCTATGATTCCTTGGTCCGTAATGCTTGCTGTCCATAATAACTTGAACTTAACCAGTTAAGACACTCTGTTATAGCTTGAACGTGCTGTGATCTGTAAGACGAAGAGAAATTTCAGTACCCGGTTCTTCGATAAAAAAAAGTCCCAGTCCAGTTTTTCCTCCGTGAACCTCCGCCTGTAAGATCGTGCTGTGATCTGTAAGACGAAGAGAAATTTCGGTACCCGATTCTTCTATAAAAAGTCCCAGTCCAGTTTTTCCTTCTAATCGAGAGCCATCTGTGTAGCAACAGTTACCAGGCGGCATGCGAACTAGTGTTCCGTTCTATACCATTGTTCTCTATCTGGTATTATAGTTTCGCATCGTGTTACTAATTTCGTTTCAGGTATGCGGTCTGAATTGGAAGGTATTGAATGTTGACGTGCTTTAAGTCTTAAAGCTGCAACCGCCGGATGTCTATTTGGATGTCTATTGGATGTATATATAATATTGTCTCCAAGGCCCTAGTTGGTGTTATACCCATTGCTCCACAATACCTAGACAACACGTTCCTGACTTTCGGGAACGCTTTTACCTTAAATTTTTTATCCATTGCTGTCCACCAGACAACAGACGCGTATGTTAGAATTGGTCTAATAACGCTCTTATAGATCCAGTGTACCATCTTTGGATTGAAACCCCATTTAGAGCCCACAACTCTTCTGCAGAAAGATCTGCCTAGAAGTACAGTGTTATAGACGTCCGATCGATCCGGTGAGCGAATATCGATTCGGACCATTACCTTGTGGCAGCCAAGGTACGCACCCGTCTTAATATAGCAGCAAAGGTGCGATCTAATGTAACACGGAAATTTTACGTCCAAAAGCTGCAAACACAACAGATAGCAGAAGCCTACTCCGCCCAACTTACCCTTGGCGAAAGCACCCCTGATAGAAGTACAATGGCAGAGATTTGTCCACTTCCTACAAACTGCAGCAAAAGCAAGACTTGGATACCAAAGACCACCATCAATGCTTTGGTACAGGCACATCCTCCTGTAGAGATAAAGAAGGAAATTTGGTGACAGATACAGACAGCGTGCTGAGGATCTGGAGGGAGCATTTTGAGAAACTTCTGGTATCAAATAGTAGCAGTGAAGTGGATACCCTAGAACCAATAATATATGACAGTATAGATTGTATACCACCTAGTCAAGATGAAGTCAGAATAGCAATCAATCGGCTGAAGAATAATAAAACAACAGGTGCCGATGGGTTACAAGCCGAACTATTCAAGACTAGTGGTCAGATGCTGGTGAGGAGCATGCACCAGCTGATTACTACAATTTGGCTAGAAAAATGCATGCCCAATGATTGGAACCTCAGCATCCTGCGTCCCGTTCACAAAAAAGACGATATGTGCCAACTATAGAGGAATAAGTCTCCTTCCCATCGCATATAAAGCGCTATCCAGCATACTGTGTGAAGGACTGAAGCCAATGGTCAATGACATTTTTGGACCATACAAATGCGGCTTCAGACCTGGCAAATCCCCATCATTGACCAGATTTTCACTCTGCGCCAAATCCTGGAAAAAACCCACGAAAATCACATCGGCACATTCCACCTATTCGTCGACTATAAAGCCGCATTCGACAGCCCTATCCGTTCAGAGGTGTATAAAGCCATGTCAGCGTTTGGCATTCCTGCAAAATTATTTCGGCTATGCAGGATAACTTAAAGTGCCACAAGATCAGCAGTTAAAGTCGGAAAGGACCTCTCAGAGCCCTTTAATACCGAACGAGGATTAAGACAAGGTGACAGTTTGTCGTGTGTCCTTTTTAAGATCCTGCTGGAAAAGGTCATACGAGAGGCAAAATGGAACAGAAATGACATGCTGTACACCAAACAACAAATGTTACCCGCCTACACCGATGATATCGACATAATGGGTCGAACATTGAGAGTGGTAACAGCCACCTTTGAACAAATTGAGAAGGAGTCTGCCAAAGTGGACGGTGAATATCACCGTCGAATGAACCATGAATTGTACCAGCTGGACATCATCGACATTGTTAGACGTATTGAGCTGCAGCGATTACGTTGGCTAGGTCATCTTGTGAGAATGGATGAAGATGTCTCAGCCCAAAAGGCATATAAAAGCGAACCAGCTGATGTTTCACGCAGAAGGGGAAGGCCAAGAATACGAGGGAATGATCAAGTCGAATTCGAAGACAACATTGCCGAAATTGGTCTTTCAAATTGGAAAAACTGCGCAAAAGACCGACGCGCCTGGAAATCTTTTCTAAGCTCGGCTTATGGAAGTAAGTACCCACAGGAGCGGTGACAAAATCCCTCCCTGTGGTGTTCCCTGAACTACTTTGTCTCTGATTGTTATGTAATATATGCTACAGCTAATCTATCGATTCCTTAGCATATAGTTAACCCAGTCTATGATTGCCGGATCAATTTGGAAGGTATCTAAGGTGGATAAGCGTATTAGTGCTGACACTGTTGAAGGCTCCTTCAATGTCAATGCATACCGCTAAGGTATACATCTTGTCAGCGAAGGTACCCTCAAGTGTAGTGTACTACCTCATTTTTTTCTCTTTAAATAAAAATATCAGGGTGCGGAGAATGATTAAAATACACTCTTTCTCATGGGCGAAAATTCGAATGTTTTCAATTTATCGCGAATGATAATGTTACAAATGAATGAACAAGCTTTTGCAATCTCTCGCGAATGTTCGCATTGTACGAAAAAGTCACGAACGATAACATTTCGCTGCAAGCGTCGACGATTCATTCTTTCGCGAACATTTGTTACTGAAGAACATTCTGTTGAAAAACTCAAAAAACAAATGTTCGCGAATACTCGCGAGTACTGTTAGAAACAACCACAAACAAAAATATCATAAAAAAGTAAACACAAACACAAATGAATGTGTGAGTAGTAGAAAGTGTGTGGAATAAAAAACACATGCCCAACAACTATTGAGTTCACGAACGTTTGTTGTTGCTGTTTTGAGCATTTGCGAGAATTCGGGAATGTTTGTTTTCATTCGTGAGAGAATGTCAGAAATGAAACGGACGAACGTTGTTGTATGCTCTCATTCGTTTTTTATGTGTGTGCGAACATTCTTTGGCGAATGCTCGTTTGGTAAAGAATTTATCGCCATAAATTCATTCGTAAAATGAGCACAAAACGAAAAGAATGTATTTTGAATCATTCGCGAGCCATTTTTTGCGCACCCTGAAAAATATATACAAATAATTTTTGGTTTATTTAAAGAAGTATTTTTTCGAATATACCTTGGCGAGATTTATTTAAAGAAAATATTTTTCAAATAACCCTAGGCGTGGTTTATTTAAAGGAAACGTTCTGGAATATTCGTAGGGGTATTTTTTAAGAGAAAATAATTGCTTCCTATATTGCTTGTGCCAAATAACTCAAATCAAACTTTGAGGCGCTAATTGTGGATAGTGATATGACAGATTTAAATAAAAAATAAAATTGAAAGATTTCGAATTGAAAATAATAAATTAAAAAATGGGGAAGAGTGAAGAAGACATTCTTGGACAAAAATGCTAGTGGACACGAACACGACAAATGATTTATTTTATTTATTTTAATTTTTTAAACAAGACTTACATTTTTCTTATTAAATTCTCTTGGTGTTGAGAACTATAATCGAAAAAACAATGTAATCCAAAAAGAAAAATTAACAAATGAAATTTACAAAAAAGAAAAAAAACAACAATACAGAAATTTTACAAAAGTTGCAAGAGATTTTGTATATTGATTACAAGAGATAAAAGAAGAGAATAAATAGAAAAAAGATTTCAAAAATAATTTTGAAAAAATATTTATTTTTTTTTTCAATAATTCGAATTTGTATCCTTAGAGAGAAAACGAAACAAGAAAGCCAGCATGCATAGTTGTACATACAACAAATAGTTTTTTCTTTTTAAATTTCCAATAAAAAAAAGTGTAGTTGTATTAATTTAATTTTTTTGTATATTAAATATAAAAATAGAATTGGATTAATAATTTAAATTTTTAATACATAATTAATATAAGTAATTAATAAATCTTAAAAAAATTAATTATTGTTATTACTCACCTTCATAATTTTACATTGGGCCACTCCGGTCACCGTCAATGGTACACCCTGTGAGGTCTCCACACTTTCACACATGGGATTTAGGGTCATCACGTTCAGGGAGAGTCGTTGGACATCTGTTACCAGCCACCATGCCCAGGCCCAGCCACCGACAATGGTGCGTTTCTTTGTGGAGCCACAACAGCCACCTGGAAAAAATCAAAAAAAATAATTAAGATTTTTTTAAATAAAAATATTAAAGCTTCTGGGAAGCTGCATAGCCTAGGTGCTATGCAAAAATAATTTCTTTAAATACAGCACGCCTAGAGCACGAAAAAATTTTCTTTAAATACAGCACGCCCAGAAGGTAGGCAAAAATATTTTTTTTAAATACAGCACGCCTAGAAGGTAGCCAAAAATATTTTCTTTAAATACAGCACGCCTAGAAGTTAGGCAAAAATATTTTCTTTAAATACAGCACGCCTAGAAGGTAGGCAAAAATATTTTCTTTAAATAAACCACGCCTAGAAGGTATGCAAAAATATTTTTCTTCAATACAGCACGCCTAGAGGTATGCCAAAATTAACTTCTTTAAAGAAACCACGCCTAGAAGGTATACAAAAATATTTTCTTTAAATAAACCACGCGTAGGAACCTTCTCAAAATATTTTCTTTAAATAAACCACGTTTAGAATATATTTCTTTAAGTAAACCACGCCTAGAAGGTAGGCAAAAATATGTTATTTAAAGAAACCACGCCTAGAGCTATGCCAAAAATATTTTCTTTAAAGAAACCGCGCCTAGAGCTATGCCAAAATATTTTCTTTAAAGAAACCAAGCCTAGGGGCTATGCAAAAATATTTTCTTTAAACGCCTAGGAAGCATCTCAATATATTTTTTTTAAATAAACCACGCCTAGGGGGTCTCTAATAATATTTTCTTTAAATAAACCACGCCTAGGGGGTCTCTAATAATATTTTCTTTAAATAAACCACGCCTAGGGGGTCTCTAATAATATTTTCTTTAAATAAACCACGCCTAGGGGGTCTCTAATAATATTTTATTTAAATAAACCACGCCTAGGGGGTCTCTAATAATATTTTCTTTAAATAAACCACGCCTAGGGGGTCTCTAATAATATTTTCTTTAAATAAACCACGCCTAGGGGGTCTCTAATAATATTTTCTTTAAATAAACCACGCCTAGGGGGTCTCTAATAATATTTTCTTTAAATAAACCACGCCTAGGGGGTCTCTAATAATATTTTCTTTAAATAAACCACGCCTAGGGGGTCTCTAATAATATTTTCTTTAAATAAACCACGCCTAGGGGGTCTCTAATAATATTTTCTTTAAATAAACCACGCCTAGGGGGTCTAATAATATTTTCTTTAAATAATATTTTCTTTAAATAAACCACGCCTAGGGGGTCTCTAATAATATTTTCTTTAAATAAACCACGCCTAGGGGGTCTCTAATAATATTTTCTTTAAATAAACCACGCCTAGGGGGTCTCTAATAATATTTTCTTTAAATAAACCACGCCTAGGGGGTCTCTAATAATATTTTCTTTAAATAAACCACGCCTAGGGGGTCTCTAATAATATTTTCTTTAAATAAACCACGCCTAGGGGGTCTCTAATAATATTTTCTTTAAATAAACCACGCCTAGGGGGTCTCTAATAATATTTTCTTTAAATAAACCACGCCTAGGGGGTCTCTAATAATATTTTCTTTAAATAAACCACGCCTAGGGGGTCTCTAATAATATTTTCTTTAAATAAACCACGCCTAGGGGGTCTCTAATAATATTTTCTTTAAAAAAACCACGCCTAGGGGGTCTCTAATAATATTTTCTTTAAATAAACCACGCCTAGGGGGTCTCTAATAATATTTTCTTTAAATAAACCACGCCTAGGGGGTCTCTAATAATATTTTCTTTAAATAAACCACGCCTAGGGGGTCTCTAATAATATTTTCTTTAAATAAACCACGCCTAGGGGGTCTCTAATAATATTTTCTTTAAATAAACCACGCCTAGGGGGTCTCTAATAATATTTTCTTTAAATAAACCACGCCTAGGGGGTCTCTAATAATATTTTCTTTAAATAAACCACGCCTAGGGGGTCTCTAATAATATTTTCTTTAAAGAAACCACGCCTAGGGGGTCTCTAATAATATTTTCTTTAAATAAACCACGCCTAGGGGGTCTCTAATAATATTTTCTTTAAATAAACCACGCCTAGGGGGTCTCTAATAATATTTTCTTTAAATAAACCACGCCTAGGGGGTCTCTAATAATATTTTCTTTAAATAAACCACGCCTAGGAAGCTTCTCAACATATTTTCTTTAAATAACCCACGACTACAAGGTATATAAAAATATTTTCCTTAAATAAACCACGTCTAGGGGGTCTCTAATAAGATAGGCAAAAATATTTTCTTTAAATAAAAAACGAATAGAAGCTATGCAAAAGTATTTTCCATAAACAAACCACGCCCAGAATGCATGCAAAAGTAAATTTATTAACTACAGCCCGCCTAGAAGGTATACAAAAAGTATTTTCTTTAAATAAACCACGCCTAGAAGGTATGCAAAAATATTTTATTTAAATAAACCACGCCTAGAAGGTATACAAAAATATTGTCTTTAAATACAGCACGCCTAGAAGGTAGGCAAGAATATTTTCTTTAAATAAACCACGCCTAGAAGCTATGCAAAAATATTTTCTTTAAATAAACCACGCCTAGAAGCTATGCAAAAATATTTTCTTTAAATAAACCACGCCTAGAAGCTATGCAAAAATATTTTCTTTAAATAAACCACGCCTAGAAGCTATGCAAAAATATTTTCTTTAAATAAACCACGCCTAGGGGGTCTCTAAAAATATTTTCTTTAAATAAACCACGCCTAGGGGGTCTCTAAAAATATTTTCTTTAAAGAAACCACGCCTAGGGGGTCTCTAAAAATATTTTCTTTAAAGAAACCACGCCTAGGGGGTCTCTAAAAATATTTTCTTTAAAGAAACCACGCCTAGGGGGTCTCTAAAAATATTTTCTTTAAAGAAACCACGCCTAGGGGGTCTCTAAAAATATTTTCTTTAAATAAACCACGCCTAGGGGGTCTCTAAAAATATTTTCTTTAAATAAACCACGCCTAGGAAGCTTCTCAACATAGTTTCTTTAAATAAACCACGCCTAGGAAGCTTCTCAACATAGTTTCTTTAAATAACCCACGACTACAAGGCATGCAAAAATATTTTCCTTAAATAAACCACGTCTAGGGGGTCTCTAATAATATTTTCTTTAAATAAACCACGCCTAGGGGGTCTCTAATAATATTTTCTTTAAATAAACCACGCCTAGGGGGTCTCTAATAATATTTTCTTTAAATAAACCACGCCTAGGGGGTCTCTAATAATATTTTCTTTAAATAAACCACGCCTAGGGGGTCTCTAATAATATTTTCTTTAAATAAACCACGCCTAGGGGGTCTCTAATAATATTTTCTTTAAATAAACCACGCCTAGGGAGCCTCTAAGAATATTTGCTTTAAATAAACCACGCCTAGGGAGCCTCTAAGAATATTTACTTTAAATAAACCACGCCTAGGGAGCCTCTAAGAATATTTACTGTAAATAAACCACGCCTAGGGAGCCTCTAAGAATATTTACTTTAAATAAACCACGCCTAGGAAGCTTGTCAAAATATTTTCTTTAAATAAACCACGCCTAGGCAGCTTCTCAGCATATTTTCCTTAACTAAACCACGCCTAGGAAGCTTCTCAAGATATTTTCTTTAAATAAACCACGCCTAGGAAGCTTCTCAAAATATTTGATTTAAATCAATATTTAAATAAAACATCCCTAAACCTTCAATAATGTTAGTTAAACCACGCGTTGAGTTGTGGAATAAATAATTAGAAATCCATAATCATTTTGCCGATATCGTGAAGTTTGGATCCAATCAGCTGATTTACCTTATTGCCATGAGGCCCCCTAAAACTATGCTTCACACTTTTACCTAATGTTATTGTAGATCATTAGTTAGGTATATTGAGTTACATGTAAGCGGATGCCTAGGGGACCTCTAAACTATTTTCTTTAAATAAACAACATGCAGAGTGATTCAAAAAATATTTTCTTTTAATGAACCACGCCTGAGGAGACTCTAAAAATATTTTCTTTAAATAAACCACGCTTAGGGGCAAACCAAAATTAATTTCTTTCAATATATCACTCCTAGGGCTATGTGAAAAATATTTTCTTCTAATACAACAAACCTAGGGAGCTTTTAAGAATAATTTCTGTAAATAAGCGCAGAGCTGTGGAAAAAATATTAAAGAATCCATAATCATTTTTTCGATATCATCAAGTTTGGATCCAATCAGCTGATTTACCCTTTTGCCATGAGGCCTCCTAAAAGTATGCTTTACACATGCATACATTTTATGGTAGGTTATTGATTGGGTATATTGAGGTATGAAATTTAATTGCCCACAATAAGTCTGCAATTTAAAAAAATGTGGCTAATTAACGTTTAATTTTCCTCGAGTGTATAGTAAGTCGCATAATTCCAATGACCATAAAAACCAGTCTGTTTGCCAAAAAATGTTTTGTTTTTTTATTTATGTATCTGTTTTTTAATTTATTTGCTGACAATACTTTTTGTCAAAGTCAAATGAAACAGACAAATAGCAAGACAGAAGTTCAGACTTCTCCAAAAAAATTAGTTTTAAGATGTTGCTTGAAGCGGGAACATCATCAGCATTGGCCACGGCGGCCAATTATTGTGCGATACCAAGTGTGGGAGCAGTTAATACTTTAGTTTCTCTGTTGGTGCAGGGCATATTATCGGCTCAATGTAATATTTCAAGTCCGGCGTTGTGGCCTGAGGATTATGCGGAACAGGCTTTGGAACAGGGTCTGTCGAGTGGTCGAGGGAGTAGAAGGTTTAGCTGGCTCTGTGTTGAAAAATAAACCAGGCCTAGGGCTATTCAAAAATATTTTCTTTAAATAAACCAATCTTGGCTACTTTTTTTAAATAGGGAACGCCTTGGGGTATTCAAAAAAATTTTTAGATTTTTTTTCAATTCAAATTTATTTTTTATTTATTAAAAAAAATATAAAATTTGATTTTTATTTCTATTTTATTCCCACTTCTTGGTAATCATATCCGCCGCCTTTTCCCCTATCATAATGGTGGGACCATTCGTATTGTGCGAGGTTACCTGAGGCATAATGGAGGCATCTGCCACACGTAGATTGTGGACACCCTTTATCCTCAACTCCCCATCGACACATGTGGCATTATCCCCCACAGGGCCCATTTTAACTGTACCCGCAAAATGATAACCCGTACTAGAGAAATGCTCCATAAAACAATACCAATATTCAGGGGATTTTGAAGCGAATTTTGCACACTCCTTCAAGGGTATGTCCAGCAATTCTATTTGCCTCTTCTTAAAACTCTCCGTTTCCAATAAATCCATGACATATGAAATACCATCCAATAGAGCCTTCTTATCCTCGAGATTTGTCAGATAACCTGAGTTGATTATGAGCGGATCTTTGGGGGAAGAGGATTTTAGGGTTACACTACCGCGAGATTTGGGTTGAGCCAGCAGGATATAGACAATGAAAATATCCTGCACTTCCAATTGCTGCCTTAGGTACTGCTTGATTTCATCCTTCAGTCCCGATATTTTGGCGGATTGTTCCAATTGCGAAAAGCTTCCGCGTTTCATGCCAACCAAATAGGTGTGCATATTCCGGGGGCCATTTGGTCGGGTTTTCAGATAGGCTGTCAACTGGCCAGTGGGAAAGGAGGCCAAGGGTCCTTTGCTATGCATTAGATACTCATATATACCATCCAAATCCGGGGAACCTGGAGTAGATGTAGTGTCGGATCCACTTGGCATCTTGAGATATAAATTTATCACCACATGATCCTGTAAATTCCGACCAATGGGTAAATCATGGCGTAGAGGAATGTTAAGCCTTTGTAGATTTCTAGCCGGACCAATTCCCGACAGCATCAACAGTTTGGGAGATTCCAAGGCCCCTGCTGAAATAATGACGTCTTTGTTGATTTGAACCTTCATTGGCTTCCTTTCCTTTAACAGAAACTCCACCGAGAGTACCTTTTGATTGTGGCTATCAAAATTTAATTTTGTGACCCTGGCATTTTTAATAACCTTGAGATTCGATCTTTGGCGAACCGGACCCAAATAACTTTTGGCCGAACTCCAGCGATGGCCATTGGCAAAGGTGACCATGGAAGGCTGCCATGGAATCTAACAAGTCATTGGAAAATATAGGGAACTACAAAAACACCTCAACATTAAATTGCGAACTTCTTCTTATCTCAATCTTTTTTGTCATACCTCAGATTCCTGTGGTGGATCTCCACCTGCCTCCAACAGCAAAACATCCCATTTGGGATTTTCACTTAAACGACTTGCCACCACAGAGCCAGCTGAACCACCTCCCACTATCACAAAATCAAAACTCTGCAGACCCTCTTTCAAAGCCTGCTCAGCATAATCCTCAGGCCACAACGCAGGATTTGAAATATTACATTGAGCCGCTAAAATTCCCTGCACCAATAGAGAAACCAGAGTATTTACAGCTCCCACACTTGGTATCGGACAGTAATTGGCCGCCGTAGCCAATGCCGATGATGTTCCCGCTTCAAGCAACATCTTCAAACTAAATTTTGCAGATGTTTTAATTTCTTTATTCATTTCCATTGTATTTTATTTCGACTTTGATAAAATAATTGTCAGCAAATAAAATAATAAAAAACATATAAATAAATAAAAAAAACAAAACATTTTTTGGCAAACAGACTGGTTTTTATGTTCATTGGAATTATGGGATTTACTTTACACTCGAGAAAAATAAACAGTAAATTAGTAGTATTTTCTTTTTTTAAATTGCAGACTTATTGTGGGCAATTAAATTTATACTCAATATACTCAATTAATAACCTACCATAAAATGTATGCATGTGTAAAGCATACTTTTAGGAGGTCTAATGGCAAAAGGGTAAATCAGCTGATGGGATCCAAACTTGACTATATTGGAAAAATGATTATGGATTTCTGAATATATTTTCCGCAGGTCTAGGCTTACTTAGAAAAACAATTAGAGACTCCCTATGGGTGGTTTATTTCAAATAAATTTTTTGAGAAGCTTCCTAGGCGTGGTTTATTTAAAGAAAATATTTCTAGAGGCTCCCTTGGCGTGGTTTATTTAAAGAAATTTTAAATAACCCCCACTTGACTTCATTTCACTTTCAATTTCCCTTAGAAATCCAACACAAATTCAATATTACAACATAGCACCCACTTATGTGTTTATCATTTTCTTTTCTTTCTTTTTAAATCAATAAAAGATAGAAAAAAAATAATTTCTAATGACAAACAGATAATAAAAATTGCAAGTCACCCAATTGTAGGCCAGAATTCCATAATCATAGTTTGTGGCCATCATCATCATCAGGCAAATGGTGCTCTACTCTGAGCACCTGCTGTATGAAAAGCTTTACTGGCAGGAAAGGTAAAAATAATAAAAATTACACAAGCCGGCCAGCAGCTAACGGCAAGGCCTTTCAAAACGTGACCACACTCACGTAAGCCGCCAGCGTGAGTAGCCTTTAATGGGCAGCAGGCCCCCCAATAAAAGAAGCTTGGGATTTGAGAAATGTTGACCAAGCAATGATCAAACAATTGAGGAAGAAATACACAATAAAGAAAGCTCTTTCATTTGAAACTTTCTCTTATTAAAGAGAGAGAGAGCGAGAAATTAAGAAATGGAGTTGATCTTTGGATAATTATTTAATGAGTTATTGAAAAAAAATTGGGAGCAACTTCTTGGTAGCTCTCTGTTGTATCGGCCAAAGAGAGTGAGAGCAGGTATTTTTTTTTTCATAGAGAAAATATATTCTCTTATAAACATTTTCCTATTTATAAGCCCTATTTTTTGTAGTGAATTTATTTCTGCTCTATTAACAATGACAAAATAATTTAGCAAAATTATCAACATTTTCACTTCGATTTGAGCTATGAAAAGTCAAAGGGTAGAAGAATAGCTCTACTAAAAATTTTTTTCTTTAAATACAGCACGCCTAGGCATTCACAGAAAATTTTTATTTTAAATAAAGCATAACTAGGGAGCCTCCAAAATTTTTTCTTAAATAAACCACACCTAGGGAGCCTCTAAAAATATTTTCTTTAAAAAGCCTAGAGCTGTGGGTAAAACAATAAGAAATCCATCATAATTTTCCCGATATCGTCAAGTTTGTATCCCAACAGCTGATTTACCCTGTTGCCATGAGGCCTCCTAAAACTATGCTTTACACTTGAATATACATTTAATTGTTGATTATTAATTAGGGGCATCATATTTTAAATACGGAATCCACGGCTAATGAACTTTTAAAAATATGTTCCTGGAAGAAATCACGGCTAAGGAGCTTTTAAAAAAAATTTCTTCAAAGAAATCACGCCTAGGGTTATGCAAAAAAATATGTTCTTTAAATAAATCACCCCCAGGGCTATACTGAAAATAATTTCTTTAAAGAAACCACGCCTAGGGAGCCTCTAAAACTATTTTCTTTAAATAAACCACTTCTAGAAGTTAGACAACAGTATTTCCTTTAAATAAACCATGCCTAGAGAGACTTTAAAATATTTTCTTTTAATAAACCACGTCTAGGGAGCCTCTAAAAATATTTTCTTTAAAAAGCCTAGATCTGTGGGTAAAACAATAAGAAGTCCATAATAATTTTCCCGATAGCGTCAAGTTTGAATCCCAACAGCTGATTTACCCTGTTGCCATGAGGCCTCCTAAAACTATGCTTTACACTTGAATATAAATTTTATTGTTGATTATTAATTAGGGGCATAATATTTTAAATACCGAACCCCACGGCTAATGAACTTTTAAAAAAATGTTCCTTGAAGAAATCACGGCTAAGGAACATTTAAGATATTTTCTTCAAAGAAATCACGCCTAGGGCTATGCAAAAATATGTTCTTCAAAGAAATCACGCCGAGGGCTGTGCAAAAAATATGTTCATCAAATAAATCACCCCCAGGACTATGCTGAAAATATGTTCTTTAAAGAAAGCACGCCTAGGCAGCTTCTAAAAATAGTTTTGTTAAAGAAACCACGCCTAGGGAGCCCCTGAAAATATTTTCGTTAAAGAAACCACGCCTAGGGAGCCCCTAAAAATATTTTCGTTAAAGAAACTACGCATAGGGCGCCCCTAAAAAATATTTTCATTAAAGAAACCATGACTAGGAGCCCTAAAAAAATTTTCTTTAAGCAAACCAGGGTTTGGAATATTCAAAAATATTTTTTTTTAAATAAACCATGTCTAGGACGGCCTATGCCATTTTTTTTCTTCAAACGAATCCCACCTAGAAGCTGCCCAAAAATATTTTCTTTAAATAAACCATGTCTAGGGAGTCTCTAAATATTTTCTTTAAATAAATCGTCCCTTAAGCTCTCCAAAGGATTTAATTTAACCAGGCCTAGAACTGTGGAAAAATTAACTAGAAATCCATAATACTTTTTTGATATCGTCAAGTTTGGAACCTATCAGCTGATTTAATCCTGTTGTCATAAGGCCTCCTAAAACTATGCTTTACAATTGTATATAAGTGTTATTGTAGATTATTAACTAGGAGCCTCTTAAAAAATATTTTAAATACAGCACTTCTGGGGAGCATCTAAAAATATTTTCTTTAAATACAGCACTTCTAGGCAGCACTCCTCGCCAAGAAGGTATGCAAATATATTTTCTTTAAATACAGCACTCCTAGGGTACCTCTAAAATAATTTTCTTTAAATACAGCACTTCTAGAGAGCCTCTAAAAATTTCTAATTTTATTTTCTATTTAAAAAAAATTTTTTTTCTTGAGATCAAAAACTCGTTCCACCCCAATAAATAAATTATGTTGCGCATGCTCAGAGTGTTTATGTTTGAACTCTTTTTTTCGAAGAGCCACTTCATGGCCATTTGTAATGAAGGTAGGGGAGAGAGCCTAAGAAATACCGGCCTCTTCCCCAATGAGGCTTACCAAGAAAAAAATGAACACGAACCTTGGCTAAAAGAAGTTCCAATCGGAAAAAATCAGTTAACCGAGGGAAGTCGTAAAGGAAAGACGTTCAAAACGCTGAAGTCAAAAAAGAAAAAAAAATAAATAAAAAAAAACGAATCGAAATTGCTTGGGTGGTATAGCCTGGCAAACAAAGCAGAAGCTACGTGAAAAAAGAAAGTGAAAGAAAAAGAAATACAAAGAAACAAAAAAAAAAAAAATACAAAAACAAAAACAAAGAAATTTAAAGAAATTCGAATTCCAAGGAAAAGAAAATCGACAAAAATTATTATTTTCAAATAATAAAAATAAATAAATAAAAAAATCGTATTGAATTGAAATTTTTTGTTGCTGTTCGCTCGCATAACAATCTCATCATCGTTCGTCGGTCGTGAATTATTACAGCAGTTTGGAAAAAAAGTTATTTTTATTATTAAGTAAGTGTGAAAAGCAGAATAAAGAAATGCTCACAAGAAAGCAAAGCAAAAAAAAAAAAAATGAAAAAAGAAAGGTGTCTAAAACAAAGAAAGCAAAACGTTAAAGAAAAAAAGAGAATAAAAATAATAACAATGAAATTGGCCAAAAGACAAACAAGTCATCTTTCGAAGTGGTGTGGAGTAGAGTGTGGACACTGTGCGCATGTGCAAAAGTCCATTTGTTGAACAAGAAAAATCGAAGAAGAAGAAGACTAACAAAAAATCTGTTTGAGAAAATAAAAAAGCCATAAACGTAATCGTGGCGGTTACATTAAGTGCTTAAAGGGGGTGGGGTGGGGAAATGTTATATGATTTTTTCTTTGTTTGTATAAATATTATCAGGCCTAAAAAGTTGCCTGATAATAATACCATTATGAGAATGATGATGATAATTATTGGGGGAGGATTTGTCTAGAAAATTATCAAGAGGAAATATGAAAACGGTAATAGAAAAAAATAAATATTAAATATAAATATAAAAAATTAGGAGCTCTTTTAAAGTGCTTTCGTTAAGATTTTTTTTTTATATTCTCAAAAAATAAAAAAATAATACTTTATATATTTTTTTAAATATTAGAAGGTGCCCAAAAAATAATAGTAAATTTGTTTTCAAAACATATTTTATTTAAGGACATAAAGTGTACTTTTGCAAATATATATTTTTATACCCTTCACCACACTGTGGTACAGGGTATTATGTCTTTGTGCATATGTTTGTAACAGGCAAAAATAATCGAGATAGACCCATGGTTCCTTTTGAGAATATGCATAGAATCACTTTCTGAGTCGATTTATGCATGTCCGTCTGTCCGTCCGTCCGTCCGTCCATGTATTTTTGTTAACAAAGTACAGGTCACATTTATGATCCGATTTGGATGAAATTTGGCACAGGTCACTTAATTGGCCCAAGGACGAAACCTATTGAAATTGGAGAAAATCGGTCCACGTTTAGGCATAGCTCCCATATAAGGGTACCCCACATTTTCGGTATTTTGAGGTTCTTGGGCTTGTTTTATAACTGAATTCTCTGAAATTTTGTACATTGGGTTCTTATTGGGTACCAAATTACTCCACTAAAAATTATAAATATAGGTCTAGTTTTTCTGGTAGTCCCCATATAACGGTACCCCAAATTTTTGGTATTTTGGGGGTTCTGATCGTATTTTT